TAAATATATATATATAAGAACGATCAAAATTAAAATTTCAATAATAAAAATCGCATGGAATATTTAAATAAAAATTCTATTTTAAAATTGCAGGAATTAAAAAAAGAAGAAGAAAAAAACTGCTCGAAAAATAAGTTAATGAAAAATAATAAAAAAATTATTCGCGAGTTTAAATTTTCTCAAGAATTTATTAAAAGGTGCTGTTTAGATAAAGAGGAGAAAGGGGGAAAAGGTATGAAATATTTGAAAATTATTAATCTTGTAATTTTTTTGTTATTTCTCGATAAATTTTCTTTGATTAAAATTGTAGAAGAATGTAAACTCGATCGAAAATAACTTATCAGAATTGCAAGGGTAATAACATAAAATGAAAGGTGGAAATAAATGTAAATACTACTACACTCATTGATGAAAAAAATGGTATAGGCCTACATAAAGAAGGAAACGTTAAATCCAATGAAATTTTATTAGTGAGAGCGTAATTATACAGTACTAAATGGTTACAATATAGAAACTTTCATGCTCGACAATAGTACAATTTAAAGGAACCTTTGGTACTTTGTAGGATCTCCTCTTGCCTGATACATGCAGTGATACAGTTGGGCATTAAGGTATACAGGTAACAAGATTTGCCCATGGATGTTGCAATCGTGGTAGACCAAGAAAATGTGGCACAATCCTGGAAAAATCTAGCTGTATGCGGCAGAGTATTATCTTGTTGGAGAATGGCTGTTTGCAGCTTTACAAAGGCAACCGTTAGAGTGTATGTCTTCCTAAACGTACCGTTGTGTCTTCACTGTATTTCGTATCATTAGTAGGGATGATCAACTATCATACGAGATGGCTCATCACGCTAGCAGTGAAGGTAATTGTAAAAGCAACTGTAAAGGCTGAATTGAAGCGCTTATCAGGGATGCTCCAACTTTTTACTCAAAGGGAAAACTCCATGCTCCAACTTTTTACTCAAAGGGAAGCGGATAGACACTAAAAATATGGGTGATGAATTGAATGAGGCTTCTCTGCATAAATCTGCACGCTGGAACAGTTCAACAGTGTAAAGGAAGCAGGCTCTGGAGGGAGGAATTTTAATTTACTTCAGAAGAATAAGCTATACTTGTGTGATTCCGCGAGGCTATGCAAANAACATAAGAAGTTCCTGTACATAAAAATTATGTATAGAAGCGCAGATACGAACTTTAACCTTGAAAATAACGAAAATATAAATTAGTAATTACATGAATTGAATGAGGCTTCTCTGCATAAATCTGCACGCTGGAACAGTTCAACAGTGTAAAGGAAGCAGGCTCTGGAGAGAGGAATTTTAATTTACTTCAGAAGAATAAGCTATACTTGTGTGATTCCGCGAGGCTATGCAAAGAAACCTCACAGAGTTTCTCTACCCATTTTTGAGTGTTCAAACGCTTCCTCTTTGAGTATTTTAACCGGATAAAGAACGTCTTCCATTGATTTTGAGATAATATACAACTTTATAATTCAAACTGTGCCCTTATCTTTCATAGGAACCGAGATACAATTTGGTACCATGAGAAGGGAGTGGGTTAAGGATGCATGGAGTTAAGTACATTGAGTTTCATGATAAGAAAATTTAACGTGTTGTATTGCAGCATACATAACGCCTCATGCTGAACGTGTGTGTCAGAAGAGTGCAAAATTACATTAAGTAATATGCTATACCTTAATGCTTTACACATCAAATTTTACTAAATTTAAGCACTGAATCGTAAGGAATAGGAAAATATAACAATTTAGCCAACTTAAAGACATTTAAATGGAAAAAAAAATTCCTACAATAAAAGGCGAAAGAGAACAAATTTGATAAGTTCGATCATTATGGAAACATATATTATAGAATATATATATATAATATTAAAATTTTAGAAAGAGGGAATAAAAAAGAAAACCTATAAAAAGTAAAAGCAATAACTTTATAGCAGAAATTCTCATCACTAATTTGAATCGGAGCAGAAACTCGTCAAGAAATAAACTTTTCTTTACGCTTTCCTGCCCAACTTTGCATCTTCAGATGCCAATAAGATCGTCGAAGCGAGAGAAATTGTCCGTTGCTATGGTAACAGCTTCACTGTTTCAATAATTTATTTTCTCGACAACGTTCTAAAGTCTCCTAAACAGGCAATACTTTGAATTTTTTTAATATATATATACACACATATACATATAATTTAAATTTGAAGATAAAAAATTGAAATAAACAATGTTTACAGCTTTAAGAGATTCATTTATTAATATTTTATCATGATAATAAAACGTAAAATTTGTAATACTTTATTCTCTTTCATGATGTTTTTTTTTTGTAAAAAACAGCAATATTTTTTCAAATTTATGTAAAAATTATATAGTAAATCCCTACCGTAGAGCATTGAAGAAATCCACTTTGTAATGGATGAAGAGTGGAAAAGAGACAGAAATATCACACAGCAGCACGTGTCTGTGTGTTGTGTGTTATATCCGTATTATATTCCAACGAATAGGAGCATAACACANGAGAATATTCCTAACTTTCACATCTAAGAAGGAAGTGGAAGGCAAGGAAAAACGAGATGACAGCACTGACAGGTGACAATCGAACTGTGAGATAAGCGTGTTCAACTTATATAGGCACCTGATGACATCTGTCTTATCTACAGCTCTGGAGATGTCACAGCATCAGAGATCATCCATCATCATTCGATAGCATACTTTCTCTAGAAATTTCTCATTATGTATAAATTGCAAATTCAAATAATAATAATAATAATAAAAATAAGCTGACGAATAAACTAAAAAATAAAAATAAATAAAATTCTTTCACCATCCCCTCTCTAATTATGCTCATGATAATGATAATTTAAATGTCTTTAATGTTAATTAGCGGCGATTAGATATTATAATTAAATGCTTTGCTGTGGGGTGATCTGGGAGGATGTAGGCTGTGGGGATGATGTGGAGAATGCTGTAGGGATACTCTGGGAGGATAATGTAAAAATACAATGAGAATGAAGACAAATTAAATGTACCTAAAGCACCATTTATTTATAATTTTTTAAGTTTAATTTTATTCCTAATCCTCCGGAGGGGATCCAGCATCCGAATCACTCCCACGCCTCATTATAACATTATAACGAGATTTAATTATTAACGAGAATATAATTAGCTAATTATATCAATAAAGTTAATTTTTTTAAAGTTTAAAACGTTAATTACTTAAGATTATAAAGGGGAATGGCATTAACTTACCTGTGTAACTGAAACCTGGAGATATAATAGGAGAAGACAAAGAGGGAAACAACGCTGAGAGCAACTACTAATAACAAACATTTCCTGATACTTGAACGGTTGGCACAGCAATAGCGGCACCAATTTCCACTACTTTCCACTATCATTACGGGTCTATCTGGCCTTCCATTACCTGCACACGTATCCTGCTTTGATACGACCGCTGAGACGATTTTCCATTCCTTGCTTAATGAAAATGTGATGCACTCCGCACAACACTGAAAACAACAGAAAAGGCAAGAGATTCATTTTATTATCCGCATCTTCAAGCTAAATATATTAAATTATGAGAGACATTCTTTAACTTTTTATCTATGGCTGTGTACATATTTAAAATGCTTTCTGTAATGCATTCTTCTTCTATTTTCCTTATCTTATTGTGACTTAATGAAGGGATGATGAAAAATTATTGTTTTCTATATTGCGCTTGATGCGCATCATTTATTTAATTGTTTATTAATTTGATGGAAGGATTTTTCTTAATATTTGCTTACATATTTTCAAATGTTCAAGTGAATGTTTTTTTTTTCACTTTTAATCAGTGAAACGTCTTAGAATTCATACTTTTAATGTTTACTTATGCAAAGTAGCTTATTCTTAAGCGTGTAAAATTGCTAATTTAGGCGATACATATGCGAAATTGCATATTTGTAGATAATGTATGTAAAAATTAACACTTTTAAGGTATTTTATATGCAAGTATATAGGTTCTTGTATTTTATATAAGCGTAAAAATACGTTGGGAATGCGAAACTTCCATAGTTTTAAACGTTATATTTGAAAAATGGCTTTGTATAGCATATATATAAATAATGTGATCGTTAAATATAATTACACATTATTAGACAGTATACATATTGCTGAATATGCAACAATATCTCTTAGATCAGTGTACAAATGTAAGTGTGTGTGTGTATTTTATAACTTCAAAAAATAAAACAAAAATTTAACACTGGAAATAAAATGTGAAGGAGTAAAATATCATGAAAATGTTGGAGTGATGAGATAAATGTAATTTTAATAAATTCAAGAGATATCTCGTGAGAGAAGCAAGATCCTTCAAAGTCAATCATTTAACTAATTTACAAGATTAGATCAACTTTCTCTTACGGAATTAATTAGATAGATGTAAACACTTTTAGTAATTGTTCCAATAAGTTTCTTTTTTTTTTTTCTCCCTTCTACTTTTTTCCCAACATTGAAGACGTTTCTTTGTTTACATGCTTAATTTCGTTTAAGAAAAAGAAGGAAGAGGTTTAATTAAAATTGCGTGTTGATTGAATATATAAGATTGGTTTTAGAATTTTATTTTATTTTTTATTTAATTTATTTTAAGTAATTTTATATCATTTTTCTTTTAAAAATTGCCATTTTAAGTATTTTCTTACGTAAAACATTATTAATTTTATAGGTGGACATTATTAATGATTTCGTAAGGAAGACTGCTTGTGTTTCTCATCATTACTTATTCCTGTTTCTAATGTTTCCTACATCTGCCTATGTTTCCTGCTTCTATTTATCTTATTGTTTATGTTTCCTATTCCTGCTGCTTGTTTCCTACTACAGCTTATTCCTGCTGTTTGTTTCCCATCTCCACTTATTTTTGCTCCTGTTTATTCCTGCTGCTTATGTTTTTCTATGTAAGTGTGTGAAAAATTATCTAAAATAGCGAAATCTTTTAAAAATCATTTTAAAAATCAAAAAATTTATTTAAAAAAAACAAAAAATTAGTTTAATAAAGTTAAAAAATTTATTGAAAAAGCTGAAAATAATCAGAAAATTCAATATTAATTAAAGTATTAATTTTCTAAAAATTATCCAGGGAAAAATAATTAAATTTTCCTTCAATTCGCCTTTAAAAAAAATAATAAAATAATTTTAATAATATAAATATTAATAACGAATGTTTTAACTTTAAATATAAATTAATTTATTAAATAAATATAGAGTTTAAAATATTAAAATTTTAAATCTCGCACGATTAAATTCAATCATAAATTTATTAAAGATTGCAGGAGCTATCAAGCAGATGATACGCTGTGGAAAGGATGAAAGGAAGCTGAATTTTACATTTTAGAGAATTTTCTGTGATGAGAAAATGAGAAAATCTTTTTGGTAACGAATAAATTAAAAAGAGAAAAATATATATATTTAAAGGTGCTCCATAATAGTTAGATTAGTCGAGTTGAAAGAGGATGTAGATTAATCCTATTTTGTAATTTGTGAAAAGTTTAGCTGATTAGTAGTCAAGAATAGCTTCTTAATTTACTAATTATATATGATAAGACGCATTAAATTGTTAGAATTTACACTTTTAAAAGGATTTTAAATTTCTATATAAAATTATATTATTTTCTTCTCTTCAGTTTGTTAACTTCGTCCTTTTTAGCTACTTTACTTTATCAAGTTTAATATTGAATCTCTATTTTATCAACTTTTTATTTTTAATAATTTTGTTTTTTCCTGATAATTTCATTTTATAAATATTTACATTTTGATACTTAATTTTGTCAACCTAAACACTACCTCTTCCTCATTTTGTCACTCCCCTTAAATTAACATTAATTTCGCCCTCATTTTGTTAACCTAAACACTTGACCTCCTCCTCATTTTGTCACTCCCTTAATCTTAATCTTTCCCTCATTTTGTCATTCAAACATCTGACCTCCTCCTCATTTTATCATCCCTTAATCTTAATTTCTCCCTCATCATTTAAACCTAAACACTTTCCCACTTTCTCATTTTGTTACTCCCTTAATCTTAATCTTTCCCTCATTTTGCCAACCAAAACATTTGATCTCTACCTCATTTTGTTATCCTCAATCATTCTGATCACTCCTTCATCCTGTCAACTTCATCATTTTGACCCCATCTTAATTTTCTGTCTCGTCATTTTAACATCTTTTCTTTTTAAATTATCCACACCGTTCTGATCAATCTCATTTTTTCATCCAAAATAATAAAAATATTTAAATGAAGCACGAATTATATATATAATTGAAAGTAGAATTTCCTAGTTTTAGACGTCATTAATTATAGTAGACACCGTAATAAACACTGTCGTATCTGTTCATCAATATATGACACTTCACTAACCATTCTCTTTACGGTTATCGACGAGCAGATCTGCATCTTGTTACAGTTCCGAGCGTAACACTTTCATAAAACTCGAGTCAACGTCACCGTGATCAAAAGTTACGAGTTTATCCTATTTACGGGTATATAAGAATGGTTAATAACACGGTAACATTGACTGGTGTGAGATATTGAGCAGAACTTGTCACGGTTTTCAATTGCCAAGCTTTTCCATACAGTCATTGTTACTATATTAAGAAGCATAATAATCATATTTTCCTTTACAGCTGCAAAGAAAATTGATAATAAATGGTTACTTTGGTGAACAGATCACGTTCTATATACGTGACACTTAATACATGTATATGCTAAGGTAGTAGGATGGAAAACTGCGAATGCGGACAGTACTGTGTTTACAAGAATAGAATGCTATACAATAGATAAAATAATTACATCACATATAAATTTATAACCAAAGCTGATCTTTACATTTATACAGTAAAATATTGTTGTAATTTAACAGTCTATTAGTGCAGCAAGTAACAGTATCTCGGTGGTACTGCAAGTAGCTAACAGTAATAATCATTAGTGCTGTGAAGTAATAATAATAATAATAATATTATTATTAGTTCTACAAATAACTGCAAGTGATGAATATAGTATTTGCTTCTACAAATAATGGGTAGTCTGTTACTGTTATAGAATGACTAACAGTAATATAATAGAATACGTATTGTATTCTACGATATTACTAGACTTTAGTAGTAACACATTGTATCCCATTGCTCTATTACAGTCCTGGGATACAGACTGCTCTTGTTACAGTCCTACTAACATAGCCTGTATCCCATTATGTTACTAGGACTGTAACAGTAACAGTCAAGTAATAAGGCAGTATGTATAGGAAAAAACAAGTACTAATCGATAAATAAAAAAGGAAAATCATTGCGTGAACGCTTAAAAGGCATAATTTTCTAAATGGCATTCGAATTTCTCACATGACACGTATGGCGAATTTGGCATGCCACGTCACAAAGGATCGAAAATAATAAATAAAATAACAGAACAATAATAATATAAATTTATAGTCTACCGATGTAAATTTAGACAATAATTCTGAAAAGTGAAGTTAAAGTTCTACTGTTACATTAAACTACGGTAATTGAAGAAGTAAAAAGAAATAAACATTGGGGCCTTAGAAAAAATAATAATAATAAAAATTATAAATAAGAAAATAAAATATATTAACAATCGTAAAGATGAGAAAATTATAAATAAAAGAAGAAGAATGGAAAGTGAACAATGAGAATATAATGAAGAGGAGAGGGAAAATATCGAAAGTCTGAAAAGAATAATGAGAGAGGATGGAGGAAAAACAGAATGCGATAGAGTTACAATGAGAAAATAAAAACATTAAAGAAGAAACAAAACGGTAATGATAAAATAAATAAATAAATAAGAACAAATGTAAAATTATATCTTGTTTATGATTTCTATACACGAATTGATGCATCAGAAGAAGAAGAGGAAGAGAGAGAGAGAGAGAGAGAGAGATAAAGAGGGAAAGAAACTACAGATAAAGATGTGAGAAAGAAAATGAAAAATCACTTTCGGTTTTTCTCTCGTTAAGAGAAAGAGAGAGCAATGGATAAATAGAAAATGAGATTTTTATGTAGAAACAGAAAAGACTAGAACGAATGAGCAATATATATATAGGCTATATATAAGAGATATAAGAGAAACAAGTGAGAAAAAATCTAGCAACGAGTTGCCTGACTTTCCCGGCAACATTTGGTAGCGTCATCTGTTACGATATTTTATTTTTAAAAACTTTTTATATTTTCAATTATTATAAAATGGCAAAAAAAGCTTAATTCTGAAGGTAGGGACGAGTTACATAAAAAAAATATATATAAATGAGAATAACGAATAAAATCGTCTTTAAGTCCGACCCTACTGGAGATACGACACACGATCCCCTTTATCTTCCCACCCCTCAATCTTTAAGCACCGAAATTTAACAGCATCAATCCCCTTAATGCACCAACCTCCGTGCAAAATTTCAGAAATTTTCAAAAAAAAAGAAAGGGAGTTATTAAGCTTCAAAGAGGGTGAACAAAATCGTGCCCCCCACACACTAAAA